GTAACAGGCAGGCGTCCTCCAGCCTCTGGAGAATGGCTGTGACGTCCTTCACATGTTGCTCCTCTGATTTGGAGTAGACCAGTATGTCGTCCAAATAGCATATGCACGTTACGTCTAAGTAAGGCCGCAAAACATTGTTGATCAGACGCTGAAATGTGGCTGGTGCGTTAGTCAAGCCGAAGGGCATGACCGTGTACTCGTAGTGACCGAAACGGGTGCGAAATGCTGTTTTCTCTTCTTCACCCTCAGCCATCCTAACGAGGTTGTATGCTCCTCTTAGGTCAAGCTGAGTGAAGATCTTGGCTCCAACGAGTCTGTCCCGCAGCTCCTTGGCCAATGGTAGTGCATAACGATCCTTCTTTGTGGCATCGTTCAATCGACGGTAGTCGATGCACATTCGTCGTCCACCGTCTTTCTTCTCTGCGAATAAGACGTTACTCCCCCATGGAGATTTGGACTCTCGGATGAATCCCTTCGCTAGGTTTTCATCGATGTATTGCTTGATCGTCATCAAGTCTGTCGCCGAATATTCCCTAAGTGGTTGGAATATCGGTTTGGTACCTGGTTCTAACTCGATCCGATGATCGTAGTCCTGGTGTTTCGGCAAGGCCTCGATGCCTCGTTCCTCCTTGAACAGTGCCGTAAACTTCTTGTATGCTGATGGTATATCCTTCATCAGTGGACCCTTGTCTTGGTGTCCGAGCTCTTCCTTGGAGGTGGCGCTAACCTCTCGAATGCTCACTGCTTCTGTTCCCGGTGGATAACAGCAGTCTTGGCAACGACTAAACTCAAGTTTTCCTGTCTGCCAATCGACAACAGGATTATGCTTTTCCATCCATGGCAGCCCCAGGATGATGTCGTGCCTTCCAATCCTGACGACGTCGAATTGGATTATTTCGGAGTGTCCGGCGATGCCCATATGGACTGGAGCGGTCTGGACCTCGATCAGTCCATCGGAGGCGACCTTGCCATCCGCCAGTACCAGATGGTATCCCTTGTCCTTTACTTCGGTTGACAGGTAGTGCTCGAGCACAACAGTAGGAGACATGAAGTTCCCTTGTGCCCCAGAGTCTACCATCGCCTGAAGCTTGACTCCCTTGATTTTAACCTCCAACGTGAGATGTTTATCCCCAATGGCGGCAAGTTGCCGCACACAGAAATATTCCCAATGTACGCTATGGTCGAGGACACTTTCCCATACCCTTCGATTGCCATAGCTTAGGCTGACCTTGTATACGAGCCCTATTCCGAGTTCGGTGTATGTTACTGGGTTGTACATCTCGTAATAGTACCGGCCGTCATCATTGACGTGGACCCATGTCCTATTATGTCGGTTCTCAGCCATGATTTCCCATTCCTCGCCCACCCCTGGTGGCGCGCTGGTGTTAAGAATGACGGTATTCTGGAGTGGCAAGTGCTGCATAAAGGTCGTCGGTCCTTCCCAGCTGCCGGCCATTCTCCATCCGATACGCTTATAGTCCCGGTAGACTACTTCGTACCTTGCCCCCCACGGTGGACCCCCCAAGCCGACAAGGCCTGGTTCTTGATAAGTAACCCCGGTGGCTACATTGGTCCAGTGGCGAGTGTTACAGCTAACCTGATACAGGCTCTCTTCTCGTTGGGTAACTTCCCAAGTTTCACCCACTCTTGGTCCTGAGAGTTCAGGTTGAGGTGGCCCTGGTTCTGGAGTCCACTCTGGCTCCTGGGCTTCTTCCTCGCTGTCACTTGGCATTAACTCTGTGTCATCGTCTGGCCCAGAGCTGTCGTTGTCTCGATACACATAGTCCTCAGGGGGCGTGCTGACGACGGTTTGCTCGAGCTGATCCACGACGCTCGCGGAATCTCGCTCACTGTCGTCAGAATCGCCCAACTGGGTGTGGATGTGATTCTCCTCGAGCTCGTCTGTAGTCATGTGTCGATACGTCGCGGCGAGTTGTCGTGTTGGTTCATTGTAAGAGCCACGTCCCATTGCGTTGGCATGTTTCTTGTCTGTCCACGACTTCTTTTGTCGATGAGAGCTGGCCATGTGACCAGGGAGGCCACACTCGAAGCACAGCTTCTTTTCTCGTCGCTCGCTCATGACTTTCTTAGATAGCCCGCCGTTGCGCGGCTTTCCTTGATGACTTGGCTTCCGGAACGTCGCATCGAGTTCCATTTCCCGAGGGTAGAATGGTTTCTTGTTATTGCCCCCTCTTCCTTGGTGCATGTGCGTTCCGGAGCGGTATTGGCCTTTCTTCTCGAGTGCCCTCTCGTAGTTTCGGTTGTCAATCTTGACAGCCATTTCGATGAGTTCTTGCAAGTCGGTAGGCGCGTCCGATCTTGCTATCTCATCTTTCACTCCGTCTTTCAACCCTTTGTAGTACTGTGCCCGAAGGGCGTCGTCATTCCAGCTGGTCTGATTCGCGAATTGCTGGAAGGCGGCAGTATACGTGGTCGCTGACCCGACCTGCTTTAGGTTCTGGATGTTCCGTTCGGCGGTACGGTTCTGATCAATGTCGCCGAAGACGCGGTTGATCCTATGCTCGAAACCTTCGAAGGTCATAAAGATCTTCTGGGATTCCTTGGTCATTGCCGTGGAGACTCTCCCATCCTTGGTTCGGTTCTGAATGTAGTCCGAGAGGAAGGTCTCGATCCAGTTGAAGGCAGATCCCCGGAGGAAGGACGAAGCCCAAAGGACTTTGTCAGTCTCCGTGGCGAACTGGTGACCGTTGAAGCCCGTATAGAGCTTAACCTGCGTGAGGTATGCTCTGAGCTTGGATCGGTCTCCGTTGTAGAGATCCGGGGCGGCGATCTTGGGTATGTTCTTTGGGTCGAAGACCTTGGCGGGAGCCGAGTGGTCGTTCGACGATCCTTTGACGGAGGACATGTTGTCTTCGTGAGTCGGTACCTCTGACGAGAAGGTGCTCAAAGTGTAACGGTCCGGTATTTACTCGCTGTAAATACAGAAGGCTGCAGTTGATCTCTGATGATCGAGAGGTAGGTGTATCACGTAGACGGGAAGACAGTTACTAAGTATCAGAATACTATTTGAAGTTGAGCACGAAGCTCCTATCTAATGGCAGACGTGCCAGTCTTATATAGAACCTTCGTTCTCCTTGGATCCCACAGGTCCCTTGGGATCCTTCACGACATAGTCGTACTGGATCCCTTGGGATCCCCTGGGATCCGTCACGTGACCCGACCGCGGAAGGCCGCTGCCAGATCACCGTGACCTGCAATACTACTATAATGTAATGCTATGTGATACATGTTCCTTAGACCTTATTGGTTCCTGTGAGCTTTACTCCTAGGAGCCGTCCGACTCCCAGGAGTACGCCTGCTCTGAGGATATTTCCTCCTGGGACCCAGCGGGCTCCCAGGAGCGTCCGTAACAGGAACACGGGATAAGTATTATTATCTTTAATTTCCTCTACTTTATTAGCGCTATCTCTCGTGTAGGTATTCTTAGCTTCCGTGTAATCTATATACTAGTAGCTATAGCTTTTATACCGGGCACACTAATTTCGGCCTAATTTAGGGCGATTTCCTCTCTTTTCTATACGCTCTCTATATCTTTATTAGCTATCACCCCTACTATTATTATTCCGTCTTTCCTATCCTCTCCTATTCTCACGTATATTACCTCTCTTATATAAGTAGCTTTTACCTCTCTAGCTTCTACTATCTCTGCTACCTCTCCCTCTATTATAGCCTCTATTCACGTAGTTCGCGACGTTACTAGTAGCTATAAGTTAAAGCTGTTCCCTCTATTAAATTTAATATTCGTTAAGCTTTCGTATAGTATCTCTAAGATCTAGGTCTTACGATTCTAAGGTAAGCGCTATAGTAATCTAAGCTCCGGACGCTAGTAATAACTATAATAGCTTAAGATATATATTCTTATTAGTGAGAGGTTTACTATCGCTACTAAGCTTTACTTTAAAGAGTAAGAGCCTTATAACGTAGTTCTGAAGTATTTCCTTCCCTAGGATAAACTTTATCTTAAAGAAATTGTCTTTTATATTAGTAAAAGTAAGACTCCCTTGAATTACTTTGCTTTCGTTTATATAAATAGCTTCCTAGAGAGGCTTAGTGTTATTTAGTTTAATAATATCTCTATACTTAGGAAAGAGAAGCTTAGAGATTAAGTTAATAACTATTTTAAAAGCTTCTTTCTTTTCCTTAGCGTAAGTATTCTACTAATTAATATTATTCGGCACGCTAACTTCAGTAAGAACGTGATAAAGAACACTAGCTCTAGCTAGCTCTTATTTAGTCTTAAGCTCCTATTTAAAGAAGTTATTAAACTCTAGTAGAGTTTTGCCTTTTAAGGCTCCGGCGACGTAGGGAATTAGTGCTTTTAATTAGGATAATATCGTAGCGTAGTAGCAGATACACTAAGAGTTGATAAAGTGGAGATCTTAATAAAAATAAAGTTTTAAGGTCTTTTTCGATCGATTAGAATTGCTACTATATCATAATTGCAGTTGTATAAGGAGCTACTACAGAGAGAGAGAATCTCCTATATAAAGGGGTAGCGTACTCAGTAGTACGGCCTACAGTACTAAGTCTACGCCTACAATCCCTATATTTCTAACAGATATATCCCACCACTCCACCTCAATTCTTTCGAGACCAGGACCGGGACTTCGGGATCGTTATCGGGCGGCTTGTAGATACTTGCCCCAGAAAGCTTGACACCTCAAGTCCGGCTCGAAATAGGCTGGTGGCGGCCAACCAGTACGCTGGTGGGGAAAGATCTTCACGTAAATCACACAGTCTCTTCAAGTCTCGCCTCCATCATCCCTACAAATCTCTCTAGAGCCCGTGTGAGCCTGTGGTATACCAGAGATGGGGGCAGATTACAATTGCAGTGCTCTGTGATGCTACGTTGCATATGTAGCGAAAGGCAAGCCTCTCCCGTGCTGTTTAGGTGTTGATTGAGTTTCAGCATCGTGAGAGTTTGCGGGATGATCAGCCACACGTGACAGTCTTTGAATGCTTGTCTTCACCACCCCCACGTTTCTCCATAAATCCAGAAGATGATATCGCGAGCCTAGCGATGTCACGTACCAGGAGAAAGCAACAGAAAAGAACGTCGACCTAAGGTACTTAGTAAGACTTGATATTATGCAGCTGCATCATCGAGTCTGCACAATCTGACAAGAGCATCAGTCTTTGAACGTCTCGGAATGGCGTCCCCTCCCACCACTCCGTGGTCTAACGAAGAGCTGAGGTCGAAAATCGGGCAAGTAAGTTGAATTATATATATTTACCTTGAACATCCTTTTTAACGAGTGATCGTTACATTATTACATTCTCATCCGATTTCCTTGATCGTTACAGCTTGCAGTAAACGCCACCAATCTACGGCTTGCCAACTCTTGGTAGTATACTTCGTCTGGAAGCATAATACTGAATTTCTGTATCTTAAGCTACAAGGGAGGACTTTAAGGATATCTTTACTGACAAACACCAGCTCTTTATCGTTGGATTTCATGGTCACGTGGCGAGTGAAGATATCAAAACTCTCATTCGGACTCACAGGATTGGAGCAGTCATTCTCTTCCTACGCAACGTCGATAATGCCACCCAGCTTCTAGAGCTTACGAACTCACTCCAAGAAATAGCAAAGGAGGCTGGTCACAAACAAGGACTTTTCATAGCCATCGACCAAGAAAATGGACTGGTCACTCGTATCAAGTATCCCGTTGCCGCTCAGCTTCCTGGCTCAATGGCGCTGGGAGCAACAAGTGACGCCGAAAATGCGTACAAGATAGCATCTGCTACGGCTGAAACGTTGAAGAGCTTTGGAATCAACACAAACTATGCACCAATTGCAGATGTCAATTCCGAGCCTAGGAATCCCGTCATAGGAGTACGTTCTCCTTCCGACAATCCCGAGACGGTGGGTAGACTTGTATCTGCTCAAATTAATGGATTGAGTGAAGGGGGTGTCATACCTTGTGTCAAGCATTTCCCAGGACATGGAGATACGGCTGTCGATTCTCATTACGGACTTCCTATTATCAAAAAGAGCCGTGCACAACTGGATGCTTGTGAACTGATACCTTTCAGAAGGGCGGTAGCTGAGGGTGTTGACTCTGTCATGACTGCACATATTGCTCTGCCCGGTATTGGAGATCCAGCCTTGAGCGAGGATCATCCGTCGAAGAAGATACCTGCAAGCTTGAATCCTGATGCTATCAAGATTTTGAGAGAAGAGATGAAATACGAGGGGATGATTGTCAGTGACTGTCTCGAAATAGATGGTGTCAGAGGCACATTTGGCACCGAAAAGGGTGCTGTGATGGCGCTCAAGGTTGGCTCTCCAATCACAGTTTTGGCTCAGAAGACTCACATTAAATAGGCCGGAACGGATTGTGTCATGATCTGCCATACTATGTCAGCACAAGTTGGAGCAATTGAGCAGGTGATCGCAGCAGTGAAGTCAGGAGAATTGTCCCAAGATACCATACAAACATCCGTAGCAAGAGTAGAAGCTCTAAAGTCCCAATATGTATCCAATGCTAGCATTCCACTCTCGACACTAGCAAATGCCGAGGCTCGAAACAGTAGGCAGGCTTCACTTGCATCAGAAGTTTATGCGAAGAGCACGACGGTTGTTCGAAGTGTTACTGGAACTGTCCCAATAGCGCTAGACTCGACGAAGAAGATAGTCTTCATCAGCCCAGGTTAGTAATTTCTTTTTGTCAAATTTGTCAAAAGTTACCTGGCATCATAAACTCGACCGAATCCCCAGATTCTATTTGGTTCCTCAGATCCGCAAACATGCAGTGCTAACGCATCAAATAGGAAAGACACCCACTGGTGGTGGTGCTGTTGAGAGTGGAGAGGAGAAAACAAGAGAAGCGTACACACCATCAACATATATCGATGTTCTCCGAGCCCAGTACCCTAAGATTGTCGATATTCAAATTCATGAAAGCAATCCACTCTCTTCGGATGATGAGAAGCATATCTCTGATGCAGACACTATTATCTTTGCGACAAGAAATGCCAGCTTGAGCCCCTACCAGAAAGATTATGGCTTGTCGTTGGGAAAGAGATTTGCAGACAAGCTGATCGTTATCGCGACCTGCGATCCATATGACTTCCTCGAAGAGAAGAAGGAGATCAAGAACTACATCACCATCTACGAACCCACTATCCCAGCATTTAAGTCCGCAGTCGACATTATATTCGGTGTTACCAAGCCATTGGGCACTCTTCCTGTCGGAACTCCACCTACCAAATATGATATCCGACCCCTCTCGAAGTCCGACGAGGATATCCTCCATCTCTTGAGTCTATGGCAGATGATCTTCCCCAAATGGCCCATGGAGCTCAAACACCTAGCACAAAATCTGAGGCAAGAGTATGGTCACCACTTCATTCACGAGAACGGCTTCGTCATGTCATTTTTCTTCTCTCTAGAGGGCATAAATCACGGAAAGATTACAGCTGTTGGAGTCTTGCCTGAGTATCGAGGGAAAGGTCTCGGCACTACTCTAGTCGCTAAAGCTCGAGAAGCACTTACGGAACAAGGAAAGCTGAAGAGTTTACAATTCGGATCTGTTTTCCCAAGATTCTGGCCCAGTGTTCCCATCGACTTTCCTCAAGAGACCAAAGACTTCTTGTTGCATAGAGGTAGGTCGGGGTCGCATCCCTCTGTCTGACGTTGCGCTCACTTTAGCCCCTGAGGGTTCCGTAAACCAATCGAGCCTACAGCACGAGATTTCTACCGCAACATCACAGGCGAGATTGCACCTCCTGATATCCTCGCTCGAGTCTCAAAGCTTCCTTTGAAATTCGTTCCTTGGTCACCAGAGCTGTATGATGAATGCATCACAAAGCAACGAGCGAATTTCAAGAACGTCGTCAGTCTATCGCTTTCCCCGTTCATCTGCTCCAAGTCTTGTTTCCTGACTGTGTTTATTCTCTAGGGCTGGGTGGAAGCCTATGAGCGTCTCGCCCTCGCCAAGCAACACCACGAAGCTCTCGTCGCCATCGACCCCAGCACCAACGCCCAACTCGGCTGGACACTTATGTGCTCACCATCCGCAGTCGTTCTCGACGATTTCGCATTCATCAACCTCCTTCCATCGAAAGAGAAAACTGGTCTCATTGGCTGTGTGGGTGTTGATAAGAAGGCTAGAGGGAAGGGAGTGGGACTTGCATTACTAGTTAAAGCGATAGAGAATATGAAGAAAAGGGGAGTGGAGGGGGTGATGATTGATTGGGTTACTATTAGGGGGTTTTACGAGTTGTTGGGGTTTAAGGTTGCTTGGGAGTATGAGACTTTTGAGTGGTGAGTGTGCAGACCTATCACAGAACTGGCTTCGATATTGCCACGAGGGTTCTGTGGTAAGTAGTCAGTCGACAAAATATCTACAAATACCAACCAAGATCTATGCTGGTTTGACTAATTTGATTTCAATCATATTCTCATCCGAATGCGGGATTCTAGAAAATTTGCAACTTTTAACACAGTAAGAGAGGTCAAGACCAGACTGGAAAATCCTCAAGTGAACTGAAATAACTTACATTTGGTATCCTTGGAGCTTCCTTTCAAGTCGAATCTCTTTGATCATCGGCACGGCAATTGACAAAAGGTCTAGACTCAACATCACAACAAACGCTCCTTCCCAGTTCCTCACCACCTTCCATATGATCCTAAGCCAACCGCAAAATGCACTGCTGTAAATATTAAACACCCTCTTCCCCTAGAGGACAATGTGCCGCCTCCCTATCTCCCTCATCGTACTTTTTCCCTGATATTTATTCGCTTGGTCCACAATCACCGCCGGCGCACCATGGATCAAGCCACAGTCAACAGCGCCATTGTCCTTACCGCCGTTGCCTTCCTAATCATCCTTTCACGTATCTTTCTGCGAAAACTTCAGCATGAGCAGTTTCTGCCGGATGACTGGCTTATGATGGTGTCGGTTGCGTTTCATGTCGGTTTTACGGCGACGTTCCCGGCTGTGGTGCGTACAACTTCTTCTTGGATTCCAGTATGGGGCGGACTGACGAGGTGTGAAAGGAGGCGTGAGGAAGAGATATGAGCTGATGGATCGAGCAGATTTATAATGGTATCAGTACAACGCAGATGGAACCCGAGAAGCTGAAGGACGATGCGGTGATGAGAAGTAAGGGAATGTTTGATCTGGTACAATGGAAGAATCTGCTGATTCGGACCAGTTACCTTAGCTTCGAAACTTGTTCTCGTTGGAAGGGTCTTCTACGCGACATATCTTTGGTGCTTGAAAGGCTGTATTGTAGGCACACCCTGCCTGCCCTTTCTCCCGAAACACAGATTCAAGCGGTGCTGACGGGATGGAATAGTTGATATACTACACCCGACTTTCGGTTCGATCCTTTGAGCTTCTCCTGGTGAGGATCGTCGGTGGAACTGTGGCTGCGACTTGGATATTATGCCTGGCTACTTTCTTTCTGGAATGCCGTCCAATTGAGCTTTATTGGCAGGTTCTGCCCAGTGCTCCCGAGTGTGCCGCAAGTGTCTCCTCTATAGGATCTGGGGGCATCGACTGACCTGATGTAGAAAGCTGTACGTCTGTTCTCTTACCCGAAGAGTTCCATACTTATGTTGAGCTAGGTGGTAGAAGTTATTGTGATGGAATCGGTGAGGCTCTAATCTGCGAGACAAGATCTGAGACCTGACATGCTTTAGTTAAACATCTCGACGGATGTATTCATCATGGTCATTCCGATTCCGCTTCTCCTCAGATCGTCTCTGTCGGTTAAGTAAGAAGCGGATGGATGTTTGCTCTATTTGTGAGTTCGGAGCTGACTTGGCGGCTAGGAACAAGATAGAAGTCTCAAGTCTTTTCATAGGTGGCCTCTTCGTATGGAATATGCATCTAATCGTGTCCTTTACCAACTGAAATGTAGATAATCTTCGCTTCGATGCTGCGATTGTTTATTGTTTTGGGGGCATTGACGACACAAAATAAGTTGATCTGGGCCCAAGTGACGATACCTGTTCCTGCATGATTTGAGACCGAGCTAACTTCACATGCCAGATCGAGTGCTTCGTTGCTGTCAGTATTTGCCAATGCTAGAGAGAGCCATACTTACGGAAGCCAGACCATTATCGTCAATGTTCCAGTCCTTCAGGAGATGTGGCGTCATGGCTGGGTACATATCCGCAAACGGAGATTTGGACTGGACCAATGCTCATCCGAATACAACCTCGCAGTCCGAGCCCCATCACACTCTACTGCAACAAAACGTTCATCACGCCTGCCATCGCATGCGGATTCCAGTGAATCGGAGTTTGAGAACGGTCTAGAAAGAAGTGAGACTGTGCCAGTAAGAGGAAGTAGAACTGGAATTGCTATCCGGAAATCAGTGCGCCCACACCCACCTCACTTTAAGAACATCAACTGACGTAGAAAATCTGTAAACAGGTTCGCAAGATCAGTAATAAACTCCGCAAGAGTCTCGAACAGCTCGAAATTGAGACCTCGGTGGTCCTCGTGCAGCATTCGAAAACCGGTATTATGACTCCAACACCTGGCATCGAGGGCGGACCGAATGAGGATGACTTCTTCACAGCTCCCACACATGGGAAAGACGGCACGGCTCGCATTAGGACAGAAGTGTCGTGTGGCCAAGATGGTCTGAGCAGTGACAGAGGTCCGAAAAGTCATATAACCAGGTTCTTGAAGGGAGATCAAGGATGTGGGTGAAGAGATTCAAGACTGCGGGAGGGGGATCAATGTGATTTTGCGCATGATGTGGATAAACTGTTGGGTATTCATTGAGTCCTTCCTTGGTGAGGCGGGTTCGTTGAAGTTCTGAGCCGGACTGGCCTGGCTTATGAAAGAAATATAAGTTAGCACACAGACTGACAACGAAACTTTGGGATATCACTCACTTCTCGAGAATCAATCATTCCACACTTCGCTAAATTCAAGGCACTGAGAATAATGCGAAGCCAGACTGCAAATGAAATGAAGCAGAATCCATAATTCTATTATGCAAATGCTCTACCTGAAAAAGACAAACAACAATCCACCAACCATACAATCAATCTACTTGCGCCTCGCTAATGCATACCAATGCCAGCAGTCTTAGTCTTAGTCTTGCTATAATGCCCAATACCTAATGCTAAGAGTACCCAATGCGCCTGCATGTATGCGTGAATGAACGAATGAATGAAGCAAGCCACCAATCTAGGGAACGAGCAAACAAAACAAGTTAAGCGAGAGAATGGAAACGGGAAACGGGAAACGGAACATAAACAGGGATGAACACCGGTGTAACGCCAGGGGGAAACAAATATGCACCAGAATGTACATGCGAGCCACGTAACTCGATTTGGAGAACCTGGACTTAAGAATGCCACCCTCTAGTCTAGTAAGCTCTGGTTCTGGTTTTGAGGACGAGTCTGATACTCGATTTGAGGCGGGGCTGCGGGTTGAGATGTAGATGAGGAGGATGTGGCAGCGCTGGCTTGGATGTAAGCCGCGCAGCGGGTCATCATCTTTGGGAAGTTGGTGGCTGCTAGCATCTCACTAAATGTCAATTGTCAGCGAAACTCTTTAAAAATGGCGAGGAGGAATGGGTGTGTAAACATACGTATAAAAACTATGCTCCGCATTATGTTCCTTCACGATGTTGTGTGCCAGCTCATGAGCGATCACAATCCACCAATATGCAGCAGCCTCACTCTTGCCCTCTCCACTACAAGCTGTCATCTTTGCAACATGTAATTGCGAATAGAATCTGAAATTGCAGAAAATCGCTCCGCCAGAATTGAACGCGATTGTTCCGCCACTCTCGTCGTAGAAGATATGCATAGCGCGACGTGGCAGCGCGTAGACATCACAGACGTCTTGGAGGAGAAGTGAAAATGTGTTGAGTGCGGAGACGTTCTGTGTGAGGAAGGTGGTGGGGTCCATGGAGAGGGTTTTGGATATGAAGATGCGCGTGCCGTTTGAGGCGTCGGCGAGGAAGGTGATATTCTGCGAGGGTGTGGAGTCGCAGTATGTGGCTTGCTCCTTGACGGTTTCGGTTCGCGGTGGGGAGAACAGAGTGGAAGAGTCGTAGGCGCGGGAGGATTGGATAGCGTTGTGGAGGTTTTGCTGTACGGCTGCAGGGGATGAGACTTTCTCGGTGCCTTTGTTGGCTTCGTCATATGTGGGTGGATTGTCCTTCGGCGTGGAACCGCCTTGGTTACCACTTCCACCACCAAGGAAGTTTTGAAGTTGCTCTTGCACTTCGCTGCCGCCACTACTGCTGGAGGAATTGAGGCCAAGTCGCTTGGTGAAGCTCGAGAAGATGTTGGGCCGTCCACGTTTGGGGTTTGGTTGGGGCGAGTTCTCTGGTGAGTCGGATCCAAATCCACCAGGCATAGGCATGCTCTCTTCACGAGCAGCAGCTGCGGGCACCATTTGTCCTTGCTGTTTCCATTGCTCTTCCTGCTCTTGTATTTGCTGCTGCTCGATGGCCATCTGCTTCCTACGTTCTTCTTCGGCCATTCGCTGCTCTGCGGCTTTGGCTCGCAGGATACGCTCTACGTTGTATCCACGTGCTCGTAATTGGAACAAACTAAGATTTAGAAATTGTTCGAAAGTCAAATAATCTCTCTGACTAGGCCGATCGAGAAGCAGTCGACTCACGGCTTGACTGATTTGGTAGGAATCGAGATCTCCTGCAGTAACAAATAGTGTCCATCCAGTCTTCTTTTCATTTTCAAGAGCAGCGGATCTCTTTTCGTTGTGGGAAAGACTGTGGCCACGGAGAGAACGTCGGAGGTTGATTGCAGTTACCACCTTGACTGTGAGGTTCTTCTCCAGCCATCTGCCATCGTGCTTGATATTCTCACGTCTGATCTCGTGCAGGAACAGCTTGGCTCTTTCAAGAACATGGAGACGAAGTTTGGTTGCAGGTTCCTGCTTTGCAGCTTCTCCACCGAGGCGGAGATCCTCTTGGATTAGGCTTCGAAGAGTCTGTGCGCCGAGAGCGATATAGAAGTCCTCTAGTTTCTCTTCCTCTGGGGCACAGATCAAAGATCCCTTGAACAGACGGTAGCCCACATAATCGTCATTCTACATCCAGTCAGTTTCATGTCTCGTGGTCGGGAAGTCTATACTTACAACAACAATGTGGCTTGCCACCTCTAGCTGCCACTGCTTGATCGGAGCATCCTCCATCTCCTCGTCCTCAAAGTCATCGCCGCTCAACGAATCACCATGTTTAGATTTTCTATTCTCCTTCCTTGCGGCGATGACCTTTGTACCAAGAAGGAACTTGGAACGTCTCATCTGCTTGAAGAGTTCCTTATCTCGCTTTAGCTGTGGAAGCTCATCCGCCAGTTTCCTCAACACATCAAGATACTTGTCATGTGTTTGTAAGATTCCAAGCAATCGAGCTGGTTCTCGGCAAGCTAAATTAGCTAACTCGATAGTTGTAGGCTCATTCTTTGAGCCACACTTCAGTAAGAAAGCATTCCCTTCCATTCCGAAGTCCACAAAGTCGAAGATCTCGTTGTAGGCTGAAGAGCTTCCGAGATAGCAATGCTTCGGAGTAAGATGTCGTACTTGCGGTTGGCTCGCTGAAACTTTGCCATTCGGATATCCATTGGCCTCTTGCTTCTGTGGCGAAACTGGGACGATCCGAGAATCGCCGAGGATAACAACTGCTTGTTGGGAGATCTCGCCGAGACGACTAGAGAAGTACGCAAAAAGTGCTGTAGCTTCTTGCTTGTTTTGAGGTGGCTCAGCAACGAGCTTCTGCATGCATTCAGATATTGGTGGATCCATTGCTACGCCGAACTTCTGTTCGCCATTAGCAAGGACACTTATTCAAGAGCTGTGTAACTTACATTCGCATGCATACTCAACTCCTTCTTTAATATACGGAATCCCAAAATCGAACATCTCTCATTCGTGAAACATTGCGATGGAGTGACCAAACGATCGGTACCTTGTATTGGCAGGAAAGCTTTGTTCGACTGATGGAGGTCAAACGCTGCATAACCATTCATGTGGTGATTGGAAATGAAATAGTACATAGACCTCTTTCTCAAATTGTCGTCGGCTGAAGCCATCATATCTATAAGCTCGGGAACAGAGGGATACGTTCTGAGGCCGAGAAGAGCGAGGAATCGTCCCTCTATACTGGCTGGCCGATAGCTTCCAGGCGGCCCTGGCCATTGAATTATGGGTAGAGCAAGTTCCCGTAATGAGTCCTTGGGCTCAAAGAGTTCGGAGACTCGGTACAATCTTGCAGTGCCCTGAGTTGGCTCAAGACCCTTAGGACCAGCTTCGGCTGGACATATCTGGGAGTTCCTTAATCTCTGAATGTCTTCTTTGGGAATGTCGTCTTTTACAGATGCGAGGTATTTGATGACCTCCATATGTCGATAGTTTACAGCCTTCTCGCCTGGTGTCGTTGCCGGGGCGGGTGCAAGAAGACGTGCAAAGATCGTCTCCAGATCTACAGTCTTTCTGACTCCAATTGCAGCGAAGAACTTCTCTTTCACACCAGGGCATGATGTAACAGTTGGTAGATCATCGAATAGCTTCACACTGGCGAAGAAAGACTCTCCAGGCTTCTTCATACCAGCCTTAGTCGGGATAATCGAAAGAGGCTGAAGAAGTGAGGTGACTGTGCCCTTGGAGCCTAGACTTAAAAGATCCCAAGACTTGGACAAGACCTGTAAGACACTGGCCGCGAATGCTACCGAAGTCGTTAAGTTCTGATTTGCTGGCCTGTGAGCATTCGTCTCGATCAGGTACCGGAGCCAAGGAACAATCTCCAGTGGTTCCCAACCTAACGCTTGGAGCTCGTTGACAGCCGTGGTCCGGGTGAATTGGAACGGAATTGTGGTCGGTGGAATAGGGAACTCCGCTGGAATCTTGCTGACATTCAAGTAGTTGGTAATCGTTCCCAGAGCGATCACATCGCCGGAGTCCTCAGAATGTCCTGTCATGGCAACAGCAACATCCATCAAGAAGTGTACTGTTGCTAAGTCCATATCCCCAGTAATGGCTTTCTTCCCAGCCCATCCGATGAACTGTACCAACTGCTCTCTACTAAGAGCCTTGGCTTCCAATTCTTGCTTGACGTCGCTAAAGGTAATTTCGGTAATGAGTCCAAAGTCTTTAAGTTTGTTAACGAAGCTCCCCTCCGCAATAATACCTGGTACTACTGGGATGCCTTCTACAAAGCCGCTGAGGTCTTCTGTTGCCAGTCGCACCTTAGTGGTTGGTAGAACACCCCGAGTACTGTAGATTTCGATGGAAGGTTTCTTGTATGCAGTCCAGAATGCTTCCTCAATAATCTGTGAGACTTGTGAACTTGGCGTTGACTCTCCAAATGTAAATGTCTTCAATGTATGCAAGGCTTCGGGCAAAAATTGAACGATTTCAGCATTAGTGACCTTGGTGCCATGACCGTTTAGCTCTGCAGCACGTTTGATTCGGGCTGAAAGATCTGACATTTCGCTTGTGAAGGCAAGTCGAGCCATGATACCGGCAACGCGAAGCATTTCAAGGTTCCAGGTTCTCACCCATCTTGCGTTCAGATCTATTGACTCACGCTCGACTGTAGGAATGACAGAGGGTGCCGAAAGATGCATTCCAGCTCCGGTGGTTTGATGAGTAGGGAAACCGATGAAGATCCTTCCACCAGGCTTCTTACCGGGGAGTACCGAGGAGAAGATATCCACACCCTTCGCTACCAAATTCTCTTTGGATGAGGCTGCAGCTTCATCATAGGATGATGTAAGAATGGCAAGTTTGGTCGTTTTCGGAGGTGGCTTCTTTGTAGCACGCTCCAGCTCGGAAGCAAAACTTGATGTTACTGAGGTCTTTACAACAGCCGTAGTGACTCGTAAGAAGACATTCGCAACTGTAACTGCAGTCAAGTCCTCAAGGACAACTTCCTGAAGAGCTTTTTCTTCCTTCATAGCTTTCGTCTTGAGTTGTGAATGATTCGTACTAGCGGTAAGTCTCGAGAAGAAAGACCGCAGCGAGGGCACATCAGAAGAGCTGTTTCCATAGGAGCTCTCATAGCTCGGCTTTGATATTGATGTTGGAACGGAGGGTTTCCAGCCAACAACATTCATAAAACGAGCATCCATCTGAACGCTCTCCCGATCCATACTTTGAACTTTCATCAACCCATCTTTTGTCTTGGTCTCGACATCTCGAGCAATCGGTACCTCGATACTCGGCGCGGACTTCTTCTCCAAGCTTATGATCTTCCAGTCGTCCACTTGCAGCTCGATTTTCTGTAGAGCAACAAATGTCAAGCTAGTTGCCAGGAACTGACAGATAGATAGAAGATTTGGCATAGGCGTGGTGGTATTCCGGTAGTCGAGTACAAAACTGGTATTAGGGTTGCTCTCTTCGGGTGGCAACAGGAGTCTCTTCGTATATAATGAGTTTGCCTTCCAGTAGAATGCCATAGCCTCTTTCCCCGAGCTCACGAATGGTTCCTCACAGTCTGCAAAGACACTGTAGAATCCAACACCAAAGGCCCCAATCTTTGTTTCATCCGGGTTTCCCTCTGCTATCCGCTTTAGTCTCGACCAGTCGTTTACCCCAAATGGCTGTCCATTGTTTGTGACAAGGAGACGTCGTAATGTATGATGTAGTAGGACATGTTTCAATACTTCTGACTGGTTCGTTGTGTTCGAGAGGGGGACTGTAGGAGACGGTAGAGTTTCGAATTTGATTGTGACCGTTGTAGCTTGGGCGTCCGCGGCATTCTGGATTAATTCTCGAAGCGTGGTCCATTCTCCAGAGTAACGAGCGAGGACTTTGTCTATCAGAGCTCGAGTATTAACCGTGACAGCCTCCTCATCGTCTCCATCCTTCAGAGCCGCCGCTCTGAGCTTCGTGAAATCCATCCTCGAGGTGACGCAACGATGCTCACCTGCCGCAACGGGCTATCCTATTTCGCAGATGTTCCTCAGTACACCAAATAATACTATAGCATCTCGTAAACTTAGAATGATGTCCGCAAAGCTCTATGTGCGGATCGGTGGTGGAGTTGAAAGGTGCTGAAGGGGGCGATGTCTTGTACTGAGACTCGAGGCTGAGGAAGGCTGCGAGGTGAAGACACGGTTCGTTTGTCTGGATGAGTGCCTAGGCGATACGCGGACATAGACTAAATAATCACGGGGATAGTTTCTGTACCAGCAGAAGCTTATGGTAATAGCATTTCAAAATGGTGGGGTGAGAAGGCAGATGCTGCGTTGCGTAATGTTTTGTTTGGCAGGTGGCGCGCCTCAAAGTCTAGAAACGTTGTGATATGTACTCGAGTACGCGAAAGTCACGAAACAAGGTTGCACAACCACAGCCCTTGGAGTGTTTTTTGAACACAAATAAACATCTAATTATTCTGCCATTTGCATGTAGCCAACAACCATAATGTACTCTTTTGTTTATGACGCCAAAACGCCTTGCTAAAAATAAATCCAGATCAAAGCCAACCTTATCGTCTTTCACGGTCCCCGCCCCTGCTTCCTCGATGATCTCGGGTGTCTGGCGACCGACTCCTTCGAGGTCTTTCACGCCCTCTCCGCTCCTCTCGTTCAGCCCTGCCTCTTCCCTTATCCGGACTTCTGCTTCGATACCTGCGCTCTCTCCTCTCCACACTGCGATCTCTAGGCTTTCTGTCCTCTCGTTCCTCTCGGTCCTCACGATGTCGTCGAGTTCTGTGTCTATCCCCGCTTCTCGACCTATGCCTCCGTCTCTCCCCACTTCTTGACCGATGACGATGCCGCCTATGTCTCCTCTCGCGGCTGCGACTCCTCTCCTCACGCCGTCTGCCTTCCCGATCTCTACCTTGCCTTTCCCCGCCTTTCTCTACTAATCCTCCGTCTTCTGGTGATCTGAAATCTCCCTCGATTCGATCGACACCTTCAGCCTTCCCCACGAAACCACCAAATCCCCTGCCTTTCCCCATATCCTCATTTTCATCCTCCCCCACACCCGCATCCTTCACAGCACGATTGACTTCGCCAACACTAATTGCATTGCTTCCGGTGACATTTCTGTCTGCGACCGGTAAGCCCAATGCCCTAGCGAGTGCATCCTCCTCAGCCTCCTTGATCCTCTTGATTTCCTCTCGCCTTTCTCTAGCTTTCTTCTCCTCGGCTGTTTCTCCGTTCTCGCCCGTAGCATCGTCGGCTTTCGCGTACCAACTTAGATCTTTGCCCTTCTGCCATCGTCCCACCGGTGCCATGAGCGAGTGGCCGAGGTAGTTTTCGCGGTGCTGAGATGTTTGGACATCGTCCCAAGAGAAATTAACACCACCCCGGGATCCTTGCTTTCGGATTGAAGAGAGGAGGTCCATGTTGCTGTATACTGGGTAGAATGTGTGAGGTTGCGTTGTAATGTGGGCGACTCTGCCAGGGTATCAAGACTGTGACAGCCGGAGAGGAAAGGCTGGATGCTCTGCAGCTAATCTGGCTGGGGAAATCGATAAGGCTGTTTGACATCACGTGCAATTAAGCTAGCAGGAGGCTTCCCGCTCCTTAGCTCCGAGCTTATTCCAGAGCCTCGTCTCCATCTCTCGTCAGCCCGATGAGTTCCCAGAACAGCGAGCAGCAATTGTTCCTGCGCTTCATATTGCTCAGAGACGCCAAGAGTCTGAATAGCTTCATTTTCCTCCGTTCGATGATATAACCAGACTCGGAGATTCTCTTCCGATCCCCCTTCTTAACATGGCTTCTCAGGAGATTGTTCTCGACGAGATCCAGTGGAAATCACCATCGCTTGTACAGCAAATGCTGGGTGTTCACGAGAACTCAGTCCTCCACTACTTTGCCGGCTCCCCATTCTTCGACCAAACATCGAACAATGCCGTCCTTACCAACCAAGCCATGTTTAATCCGAATATGCTCGAAGTTATACAGACGCGTGCCGCATTCGAGGGCCGGTTGAAGACAATGTCGGGCTTGGAGTTTCTCATTGCGGAACAGCCTGCAGAGATGACGCCAGGAACAGGAACTGGGGTATGGGTCATTAGGAAGCAAACACGAAGGAAGAAGGACAGAGATGAAGACGAGATCACCATCCATTCAACATACTTCGTCGTCGGCGACAACATATATATGGCCCCTACAGTGGCAGATGTTCTGGGAAATCGCACGGTAAGCTAGGTTATAGTGCGCTCTTCAAATACTGCTAACACCAAGCAGATGTCCATCATTTCCTCACTTAACAGATTCATTACAAAAGCCGCTGCACTCCCAGAATTCAGTCCTGCGCTAGGTCATGTATACACGCAGCCACCGACTGGAAACCGACTCAAGAACGGTGAATCGCAACTGAGTCAAGGCAGCAAGGAGAACACCCCTCTTCCGGAGTCACTCCAAAATCCCAAAAAGCCTAACCCCTCCGCATCGACAAGCGGGGCTGACTATCTCGACAACCGACTTCTTGAGGAGACAATCAATATAAGTCTCAGGTACGGCGACGAGTATATGGACGAGATCCCAATCACTGGAGCACCTGGAGAATTCCATCTATCATCTACCGGAAGGAAGGACAAGGATAAGCTGATGGTGCCAGCAATCACTAAAGTACCGACATCAGTACCGAGTAAGCCTGCCACGCCAGCCCCGCCGCCTTTGAAGACGGACGTCCCGCCAGAGAGGAAGAATAGCAAGGCGGAGAAGAGTCCAAAGACGCCTGGAATGCCAAAGCCGAAACGGAGAAAGAGCAAAGGGCTAGGTCTTGGCTCCGGGGGGATGAGTCCAACAGCGACTTGAAATCTGGCAAATTGGGTTATAGAGGCGTTTAGGGCTGGATGGAATATACCCATGAATTTTACGAAACAGCAAAATTACGAAGTCTTTGGGAGAAGCATGGACTATTGGATGGTCCATCACATCATGCTCGGGGCTAACAAGGTAAGCTGTGTGGGTTGTCCCCAACATTTTGCTACCTCCGCAATAGCCCAGCATTCAATTCTATAGGCGAAGAACGAGGCGAGGTACTGCAAGTCTTCTCATGAGAGCAAGTGCGTCTATTCCCTGACTTTCTCAAACTTAAAGTCAAGGCCTTTAGTTATCTCCAAGTGGCCGTCCATGCTGAGACGAAAGCTTTAAAGAAATCATATCTCATATTCCATGAAAGCTATACATGCAAAGCTATCTTATATCAGATACCCAAGTGTTACGACATTATGACCATTCTTAGCTCAGGTCCCAGACCTGACCCTGTTCACTCCTGCTGTACTATGCAAAACTCCGCGGAATGCGACCTTTGAACGCCATTCTATCCAAATTTCCAAGCAAGTACCTGAACCGCTCACTATTTTTCTCTTCATTCTTCTTCTTGCCTTCCCTAATGCGAAAAGCGTTGGGTACGGCGGGTATCATCATATCACTTTCCACCCTTTTCTTCCTCTTTTCTCTCAACATCCACCTCCTCACAAAACAGCCATCACCACTCCACCAGCCAACGCCCCCAACCCACCCATCCAATTCGCCGTTCCAGTCGGCGCCGCCCCCGCCGAACTCGTACTTGTCCTACTCACACTCGGCTGAGCGGTCGAACTGGAACTTGAACTCGAGCTTGAACTCGAAGTCCGAATCGGTACCGTCGTGGCACCACTCACAATAACCATCGTCGTCCCCGAAATAACGGTCGTGCTGCCCGAAATCGAAAACTTCGGGTCCACAGGCAGGGTCGTAGGACCCAACAGTACCAAATTCGAAACTCCTGATATCACAGTCGTACCTGGGGATATAGCTTGCAGACTTGTCGAAGACGGCACAATGATAAACGGCGTGCCATTGAGAGTTGTTGTGGAGCCTTGTAAGCCCGGCGGAGCGAGAGATGCCGGGATGGAAGTTGGGCCCGGGATGAGGAGGAATGGAGTATTGTTTATAGTAGTTGTCGAGAATGTCCCGGATCCTGCTCCGACATTTGGAGATGGAGCTGGGATATTGGTCGGGCCTGGGATAATCAGGAATGGAGTTCCATTTATGGTTGAAGTTTGGCCGGTGAGGCCCGCTGGAGCATCTGAAAGGGGTATCGATGTCGGCCCAGGGATTGCGAGAAGAGTCGATCCATCTATAACAGTTGTTGGAAATGTCCCTTGTTCGACTCCAGCTGGAGCGGGTACATTTGTTGGCCCAGGAATGATCAAAAACGGCACGCCGTTGATTGTCGATGTAGTGCCTGTCAAGCCAGCAGGTGCATTCGCAAGCGGTATCGAGGTCGGGCCTGGAATCACAAGAACTGTCGAGCCATCTATCACACTAGTGGGAAATACACCACCTCCTGGTTGTTGCTGGATCGTTGTTGGACCGGGAATAACCAGGAATGGGGTATTTCCAATATTGATCACGCTGCCCATTGCTCCTGGCGGCGCATTCGCAGCTGGTATCGTTGTTGCGGCCGGGATGATGATCGGTTGAGGTGCCGGTTGTGCTGCGCCTGCTCCTTGCCCTTGCAATTGCACTTGTCCTTGCCCAGGCTGAGCGATAGTCGTCGGACCAGGAATTATTATCACGGGCGTTCCTCCTATGTTCGCAGAACTACCAACCGCTCCAGGCGGTGCCTGAGCAATAGGAATAGTGGTTGCTGCTGGGATGATGACTGGAGCAGCTGGTCCGGGGTTTGGGTTTTGGTTTCCCTGGGGAGGATTCTGGGCTGGAACAACGGGAGGAGGTGGGTTACCGAACATGGAGTTTATGATGGCGCCAATGGAGTTTCCTGGGTTGGCTGGAGGTGGCACGGGTGCCGGAGATGGAGGTGGCTGAGGGACGGTGAAGGGACGGACAGGCCCGTCGACGCCTGAATCGGGAGGGCTCGGTGGGTTTGGATTGGGGGGATTGGGATTTGGATTTGGACTCGGCAGAATCTGCCCAGCACCCGTCGGTTGCGGTGGATTTGGATTTGGCTGCACAAGAGGCGAATCCGTCACCGGCAACGGGATCGGTACAGGACTAATCTTCTGCTCTGACTCTGGCTTCGGCTGCTCAATGGGCTGTGGCTCTGGTTTGGGCTCTGGTTTAGGCTCTGGCTTTGGCTCAGGTTTAGGCTCAGGCGTTGGAACCACCGGCTTCCCAACATATATCGTCACCGAGCTCGTTAAATCGGAAGCCACCTGCTGTACTGTCGAAGAGAACTGTTCGATCTCCGTACAGGTCGCAGCCTGGAGAATGGACGGTCCGCCTGGTAAGCAAGACTGCAATTCTGGATTCTGGTTCTCCACTAGGTAATCGAGCACGACTTGAGGGAGGTAGCCGTATGCCTCCTTGTCTGGTCCTTGCGCGCAAACATCCGGTGGTCCATCTGCGCCATGCTGTCCCCGCAGAGGTTGGTAAATAAAGGGTGTTTGAAGAGCAACCATTGTCCCTGTTGGCAAATTTTGGGTATCTGCCGGCTCTCCAGCTGCATCGAGATAAATCGTTTCATACCCCAACACAGATCCGGTAGATACTGTCGTGAAGGCTTCATTTGACGATGTAGCAGTTTTGGTGGTCGTGTAGAAAGATGTGCTGGTCGGAATTACGGTATAAGTCGCGATATCCCGGCCGCCAAAGTATGCTTCTGCGTTGGAATTTATCCCGTTGAAGACATCCATGTTGTTGCCTTTTGATGTTTGGGCACATTGGACGTTGCCTTGTTTATCGGTCACTGCGTCTACGGTTATTACCTTGACAGTGTTATACACGTAGAATGCTGCTGGTGAGTTCCTAACAGAATCCAAATTAGCCAAGTAATCATTTTACGTCGAGAAGGAAAAGCTGTCTGAACTTACACTGACACACCAGCAGTCATCGTCGCAGTCCCATTCAACATAGATGTCACTTCCATCGGGCCTGGAGCAGGGTTGAAGAACCCGGAAAGTGGATTTCTTCCAACCTGGTATGTCCAAGTAAATGAAGCATTCGTTGGAAGAACCAATGTCTCCGTCCGAGATGTGGTGATATTAGGTAGATTAGTATAATAGGTGATGAAGGACGTTACGTTGACTTCCTGGACGGCGGAACTGAGGCGGGTTTTGGCCCACCATTGCTCGCTGATGGTATCTTGAACTACGAAGCAGCATTTTCCAGTCACGCTTGCGAGAGAGGTTGAGCTGTTGGTGATGGTGCTGCTATTTAGTGATGGGAGTCCGGACGAGGACGAAGACGAAGATGCTGTGGTAATTGAAGTGTTTAAACTTGGAGGTAATTGTAGACCCAACGCGTCTCTTGAGGATGCGGAGGTACTTGAGGCCGAAGACGAAGAGGGTTTTGACGTTGAAGAAGATTGAGAAGATGGAGACGACGAAGTCAACGTGCTGAGCGACGATGATGAAGAATCCCTCGAAGACGAACTGGATGAGGATGTAGATGAGATTGTCGACGAGTTCGTAACTATTTCTATGTTCAGTATATGTTTTGCTACTTCACAACGGGGATGACCTTACAAGGAGGAGTTCCTTGTGCTTGAATGCTGGAAGCGACTGTGAGCACCAGCAGGAAAATACTACGAGAAAACATCTTGGAAAATAATGAAAAGATCGTAATGACAGTGATCTTAATTCAGATTCAAGAGAAACGTGTATATTCTCATGAGGATTCGGTCAAGATCTGCAAAAGCCAGCGGGATCCAGAACGATAATAATACCAAAGCACAATCCAGAACGTGCACAGCCCTTCCTCCAGCCATTGCCAGTCATCAGGCAGATTATTTCCACTGTGTCACCATTAGCAGTGCAAGTCCCGGACAACGCCAGAAGCCTCTCAGCCCGAAAGCTTGCTGAATGCTGTTTTGATTGGCCTCGTTTACCTCGCTAAACAATCCCTCGGCTCTGCCCCCTTATTGGACCAAAGACATGCTTAAATCGACGCCCGCCAAGCAAAGGGTCTCACTTTGGCTCCCACTCCGCCCCAGCCACTTCTCTAAAATTACTCCTCTCCGTCCAATACTTCGTCCTTCTTTACCACTTCCACGGCAAAGGCCTTTGTTCATACAGAAGCTCGTTTGAGTCTCCAATCAATTCCCAGTATTGGGAATCTCAGTGACCCTTCGGTACCACGAGATCGGAGGGGCAGCCTGGGGGTTGGCACAGGGCTGAAAGCCAGAAAGCAGGGGCTGTATGCAAGCTGTCGGCTTCCTATTGTCAGGATCCAAGGGTGCTGGCCCAGCTGAATGGGAACAATTTACACATGTGTTTGCCTTTTCTAATTGCGTAAGACACTTTCCACGACAGGACTCGGCATGTGTTCCCTTGCACCAAGGCGTTGACATCTCCTGATCTCACCAAAGATCCAAGCAGTAAGTCTTTCTCAGCCTTATTATCTCCTCGGAATGTTCCCATTGGACAAGACCCAGCACCGCCGAATATGTTTCTTCGTCTTGATTTCGCAAAATTTCAAGCCTTCTTCCTTCCTACACTCCCCAAATTGCGTGTTTTGAAACAGCCTCGATGGTGAATAGCTGGCCTTGACAATGCTATTGGCACTGCATAGTGTTGTCTTGCACTTTGCTTTCACAGTGTCGCTTCTGGAGCTCACACTACCAGTCTGTGAAGGGAGAATCTTTGCAGACCGACTCAGTGCAAGGGCAACTCTCCCCGCACCAATCTCAGTTCTGCCTTCGCAGGAATGGTAAATACCCAGAACAAACCCTTGGAATCCAATACTAATGTGAATAGGGAAGGAAATGATGGACCGTGGTCAACATTTACTCTCCAGATTGGAACACCTCCTCAAAATGTCAAAGTTCTTGTCTCCACTGCATCCACACAAACTTGGGCCGTGGCAACCGAAGGATGCGGAGCTGGAGATATCACAGAGTGTCCCAAACTACGTGGGGGTCAGTACAATTATACGGCATCATCAACATGGGTTTCAAATCTTGCCAATGTCTCGAACAATATTTACGGACTGGGACTGGAGTCTGCTTTGGGATTAACAGGAAACGGCCGATACGGATTCGACGACATTACATTAGGATTTCAAGGGAGTGGCGGGCCAACTCTGAAGAACCAAACGATCGCTGGAATTGCTGCAAAGGACTTTTTCATGGGACTATTTGGGTTGACGGCTAGACCGAGTAACTTCACGAGTTTCGACAATCCAGTTCCGAGCTACATGGAGAACTTGAGGAATCAATCAATGATACCGAGTTTATCCTGGGGATACACCGCTGGTAATCAGTATCGTAGGTAATCCACAAAATCATTGAATACTCGACATGCTGACCTGAAGCCCAGGATTGAACGACGTTCTTGGGAGTCTGACTTTAGGCGGTTATGACAGCTCCAAGTTTTCACCCAATAATCTCACATTCGACTTCCCCACAAACGACGATCCAGATCTTACCGTGAAGCTCGAAGCGATAACCACCAGCTCCAGCATCTCACTCCTCCCATCATCCATCAATACAGTTCTCGACTCAACAGTGTCCCATATCTGGCTCCCAACCAGCGCATGCACACTTTTCGAGAACGCATTCGGCATAACCTGGAACGAAACTGCCCAGCTCTATTTCGTCCCCGAAACCCAACACACCCTGCTACAAGCGCAAAATCCGAGCGTAACTTTCACACTCCGCCGTCCGGATACAGTTTCGTCGGCGACTGAGCGCGTCAACATCACACTGCCATACGGCGCTTTCGACTTGACAGCTTCCTGGCCCCTAGTGGAAAACAACACCCGCTACTTCCCTCTCAAACGCGCAAATGACTCTTCGCAATATATTCTCGGCCGAGCATTCTTCCAAGAAGCTTACGTGATCGCCGACTACGAACGAAAAAATTTCTCCGTCTCGCAATGCAAATGGGATTCCTCGCCTCAGAGAATCGTCACCATTTCCCCGCCTTCAGACAGCCCCAACAATCCCAAATCCGAATCATCAGGTCTCCCAGTCGGAGCGATTGCGGGTATTGCAGCTGGTGGTGGTGTACTCCTTATTGCTCTTGCTGTAGTACTGTATTTCTGCTGGTGGAGACCTCGACAGCGGAAACGGAAGACGGCGGAATTAGCAGCAAATGAAATTGCGGTGCAGAATCCGCAGCAGCAAGAGTTCTTCAAGCCAGAGTTAGATTCCAACGAGGTGAACAATAAACCAGGGATCCAGATCCACGAAACAGAAGGAAGCAAGGTATTTGCACCAGTTGAGATTGGTACAAACCCAGAGATTGTGTACGAGATGCCAGCAAGGGAAGAAGTAGCGTCTGAAATGACAGGTGCGAGCCAAAGAGGCGATGAAGTTGCAGATGAGAGGTATTTATATGGAGGAAGAGGCGTAAGAAGAGGTGATAGAACACCAGGATCTGCGGCCACGAGCAGGCAGTCGAGTATCAGTTCGGGATGGGGATCTCCACGGACCATGCATAGCGAGCTGGCTGGAGGGAGGGGAAGAGGTAGTTTCAATGAGGCGAGTCCGGGGACGGATACTCTGTCAAGTGTTAGTTCAGGCTGGGGATCTACTAATCGAACGAGTGGAAGTGATAATATAAGTCCAGCAAGTCCAGGGCAAATGAGGAGAGAGCAGAGAGGGAGTGGTTTACGATATCAGTAGACCAGGGGAGGGGTTCTTGTTATACTTTGTGCTTTGGTTTTTGTATATATCAGACTCTTGTATGCTTTGTAATTCCATGAGATTTCATCCCCACACGACAGCTTCTACTTCTTTGCAAGTTCTAGGTTTCTCAAGTAGTCTTAATATAATACTTCGGGGCTTTCGACATCTGGTCATGTCGCAGGAGCTCCGTCCAAAAGATCCAAGATCAAGAGTCCGAAAGAAATGAGCGCAAGTCTCCGATGAATTATATCCAAGGTTACTTAGGGGATCAAATGAAAATCAACACAGCTCCCAATGTCCTACAAAACGGAATGGTTACAATGCATGTATAGCCAAGGGTCAGGAACAGTTCGCTTAAAATCGCTACCTTCAGGGGCCTGATGGCCTACCATCAACAGCGAACAGCGAACATCCAACAATCCTCAGTCAACAACCAACAACCACCATGAACCAACAGCCAAGGCAGGCGCAGCACCATGCTACCATATACAGCCCACTTTGAATTTCGGCCACTCTCTTGAAGTCGTAAATACATATGTTTTCGATTTTCTCTAATCCAGAACTGGAATGTATCGAAACCCACTTTCACAAACACATCCTTCATTGCCGTTACCACGAATATGTTGAGCGAAATGATTTTACGTGCAGGAAAGTGTGTCGCGTGGATGACTGCCACGGTCTTTTCGACTTCATCACATTTGATGACGAAAAGTGTCATTGTAGCCTCAATTCCGGGAATAATTCCAGGAGAGTCCAACCTCAAATTCTGTCACGAGTCGAGACCGACAGACTTATTCGCCGTGGAAAGAATATCAGTCCATCCCACCCCTCCACTGCTGTAATGATACCACACTCTCTTAACTTCTCCACACTCTGTATTCTAACCTTTCCAGGGATGAGTATATTGATATATATCTATACGGTATTGCTGGATCCACAATTTGAACCATTGGCATTTGTTAACAGGAGTAGGAACATTTCTTCAGAACATCAATAAAAACGCAACCTGGAAATGGTATATAAGAGATATCTACCAAGACGGCGAAGGTGCATCTGGAGTCCACCAATTTTGTGATGCGATGGAGTGGGTCGAGCAACCAGACAAGAACCATCATCCTCGCTGCCCGCCTGAGAAGGGCTTTCCTATGTTGAGTGTTCATACATGGGTACCTTGGTTCGTGGGAGAGGTAAGAATATATCCTCTATACAGTTCATTCTAAAAACTGACATGATTGTGTTAGGGGAATTACACGGTCAAGTTTGATGCGAAGACGAAGGAGGGTGAGAGGATCTATTGTTTTGATGGGGAGTTTGAATTGGCCTACCCGGAGAACAGTCAGAGAACCAAGTAGTTGGATTTGAAATAGGTTACTGCTGGAATTTATCTTTCTAGAGAGATGTTTGGTAGCCTAGTAACACTTGTGTTGTCCTTGGAAGCTGACTTTTCTGATTCAAGCGACGTTAAAAAGTCGTTCGTTGAAAATTTTGTATCGTACCTTTTTCTCGACTTCTCCCAACGATCTTAAAGCGCCGCACAGCTCCAAAGAATTTACTAAGTCTTCTGGCTCGATCTCCCTACCATTTGGTCGAAGACTGGAGTCACTGGGGCTGGGCTGCGGGGATCCTTGAGAACCAGCAAAAACCAACAAAAGGATCTTCGAGGATCAAAACACCAACATTCAGGACCCAATGACCAAAGAACCTTGCCAAATCGTGCAGTGCTAATCAGGCTACATTCTTATCACCAACTTCCACAATACATCCATTCTCCATTTTCCATTTTCCTACCCTACCCTCCAGAATTTGCTCTTCCAAGCAGCTCTTCCATTACAAACCAGACCCCAGATATCAATCATGAGATTCCTCTCGCAAACCACCAAATTTCTAACCGTCCAAAGCTCTCTTCAAAGCCTCCCCGCACCAGGCTCAAATGCCATATCAAGTTCTTCAATCCCAGGCGACATCCCCGGCGATTCAAATCTAGGCTACTGTCCCGAATCGCTCCCCACCGACCTCTTCTCCATTTCACGATTAGAGATCCATCCCGCGCCACCCCTCTTGTACGTATCCAATCCATCTCAAATATCACTCATGCCATCACGCAACAGCTAATCGAATCACTCCTCTTCAGGGAAGAAGATGTTAGAGTCTGAGTCTACGGTACGTCGCATACACTCCCAACCTCTAATATCCAACCTCCACCCTCCAATCTCCAATGTCAAAAACCTGCCATGAATAACATGACAACATCAAAGAAACTCACAGCCCCTCAACAGGCACCTTCCTCCAAAACATAACCGTCAACGCAACCTGGGACTGGAGCGTCGACGTCCAGCGCGGCCCCGACCACGGGCACCAGACCGGCACGCTCGATTTCTGCAATGTAATGGATGCAATTGAACAGCCTGATCCTTATATAGAGAGAGATTGTCCACCTGAAAAGGGGTGGGCGATCATGCACGCTGGGTCATTTTTGCCGTGGTGGTTGGGCTCGGTGAGTTATTTATCGTTATCATTCTGATCTCATCACATCTATGTTTACAGGAATTTGATACTGATTCTGTAGGGAAACTATTCGGTGAAACTTGATGCCAAGACTAAGGAGAGGGAGAGGATATATTGTCTTCAAGGGGAATTCCCTCTGTTGACTCGGGATGGGGGGACTCGAAGTGCTGATGAACTTAAGTGACACTTTCCAAGAGGGGCTTCTTCGTAATGATTTCCACTCATTCAGTGCAGAACTCAAGCATTTCAATCAGTTAAGATTATTATCATAATAGAATCAGTTTTCTCATCTGTGTTCCTCATCCGTGTTCCTCATCCAAGACTTCTTAGTTTGAATAAGAGAGAAAGTGAAGTCCGAATAAATGCCATTTTTGCTCGGGTTTCAATCTTCGTCCTGCTCCAACTTACTTCTTAATATACGCTGGAGAGACAATTCTACGGTAACTACGCTCCCCGAGGCCGAGTTTATCCTTCTGGCCTGATACTGGGTTTGGAGGACCAAATCTCCAGAGCAGCCTTCGGTCAGCCCATAAATGTTGCACTAAACCTAGGATTGAATACACCTTCGTACTACCTGATCTCCTCGGTGGGGCACAGCCTCTTGCTGTACACATTACACTCAAAGTCTCCAAAAAGTCACAGCTTAGAAGCTTGAAAAGCAACTGCTGACAATAAAGAGTGTCAGTCCAACCTCTTAAGCCACTAGAGGACCAACTCCGACTGAATCTCAAAATGTTCGACCTCCGTATATATCCAGCCACCAACATCCTTGTAATCCTAAACATAACTAATCGAATTGTTTCTCAGCAATACAGACTTACGGAAAGATCTTTTCTAATCTCAGACCCAGCGATAATCCCACTGCGTTTGTAGAATAATAATCAAAGACACCAGTCATTACCTTAATCCAAGAATCGGATGCGACGCAACATTTCACGTGATGTTTACTTCCGGCTTTTGGGACATTTCCATCAAGGAAAGACCACGATTTTGATTATCACCCCTATGTGCCCTTCTATTGAAAGATTGGAAGTATCAAATAAAGCCGAGTACCAATCTCGAGCCTGCGACTCATCATGGATAGATGAGGGTGTAAGTACCATGCCTGACCCTTTCAGGGTCAGAATGAATTGATTTGCGCCGGCATAAAGCAGCAAAGAATCATCAAGCAGAAACATCTGAGGGCTTCAAGGATGCTAAAACTCAGGTGAAAAGATAAATGTAGGAATTTTAAGTGCATTCTGGACTTTAAAGCTGCCCTTTGAGGATTCTCGACAGCGGCTGACCACTCGATCACATCACAACTTCACAAACTTGAAGTAATACAATACCTTAGGAAGCTCAACACACGCCAAATAACTCCTATTTTGACTCACTCCCCAAATAATGATGCATCCCTCCTTCCATCACTTCAGCATCTCCATTATCCCTCCTTCCAATAAGTATAAACCTTAACCTCCCAATGCATCAACGGCTCCCTTCCCACCCACTCAGCAGGCACATTCCTCCCCTGCGTAACCTCCCTCCAATCACCCCTTTCCCTCTCCGGCCAATTCGGAACAAAATACTCACTACCAGGTGTATCGAAATCCGTAAAATTAGCAACCACAACAACAGGTTCGTGACCAGGAGCTCCTCGTTTCCACGCCATGATCTTCCCACCCCGGCTGGAATCTACGTGGAAAAAATCCGTGTCGTTGTCTCCTAGGGCAGGGCAAGACTTCCGAAAATGGATGAGAGTTGAGACGTAATCGAAGATGCGGGAGCGCCAGTCTTGGGATTTGCGTTCGTAGTTCACAGGGTCGATCTGCTTCTCTGATGTGTCTCGGTCGTGTTGGTCGAGGAACTCTTCGCCTGCAAAGATCATGGGGATCCCAACGGCAGTCAGGAGTAGTGCATGAGCGAACTTGGCGCGACGTTCCATATCGACGACTCGGTTGCTGGAGAGGAAATTGTAGAGACGCTCTTTGCGGAAGCCTTCTGTGTCATGAGATGTGATGTAGTTAACTGCTTGAGCTCCATCCCAGAATGGATGGTTCGGATCTTGTCTACAGTCAACCATTTTACGGACTGTGTCTTCGAAATTATGGTCAGCGGATTCGCCCAAGATGACTGCTCGGATCCTTGCTTGGAAAGGCTCATTCCAGAGAGCATTCAGGGAGCCAGTTTGAATGAGGTCAAGCGGACAGCTCAGTTCTTCGCCGATGACGAGGAACTTGGAACTAAGAGGACTGATATATCTTTTACGATAGACAGCCGTTGCGTGTTCCTTGTAAGATCGAACAAAATCGTAGTTCGCAATGTTGTTCACGCTGTCCAGTCTGAGACCGCCGACCCCGAAATCTGACATCCAGCGATGGACATGTGCTTTGTGAAAAGCCCACGAAGGATTGACATCTTTGACTTTGCCTGCAAATATTCAGCATTAAATCATGGCAGAAAGAGGCCTCACATTACCTGACTCTGGATCGTATGTATTGGTGGTCCGAATGTACCGCCAGCTTCTTCCACCATACCCATCCCGGAGTTGATTGCCATCTGTATGAGGGGTATGCGATTGCCAACGTTCATTGTTACCAAATTCAGCCGGTGATCTTGGATCGATGTGAAACTGATCGTACGCGATGTATATATATGGATCATGTCCAAAAGCCATGACCACATCAGTGAAGAAGCGAACTTTCTTCTCGTGAATCTTATCAACGAGTTTGACAAGGGAAGTTGCAGTTCCAAGATTGAAATCAGTGGCGAAGTAGTTCGCAGTGGCATATCCCCACTCGCCAGTTGGTCGTGCATCCGCAGCTGGAAGAAGTTCAAGAGCATTCACGCCCAGATCTGCGAGAATAGCCTGCGTGGCAATTGCAGAGACAGATTTGAAGCGATCGCCAGCAGAGCCAGAGTCAAAGAGTGCTAGAACATCGGTGAACGTTCCAGTGTCCATTTCAACATTGCCAACTTTCGTGAATCGGGCCCAGGATGTTGGCAACTCATAGATGACCAAATGATTGTTGTCTGGAATGTTTTCGAGACTCGGAACTGCGAGGATATTAGCGATTGCTCGAGTATTTATATTCTGCTAACGATAGTGTGATCAATCTGAAATATTCTTGGGTGAAGCTGAGCTTACTTTTCACCTGACCAGGCTCATGGCCATCTCGATCGCAAGGCCACAGCTTTCCATCACGAAACTTGATCACAGAAGCTGGTTGTTGCTTGTCTCCCGTGAGTTTCGAGACTCTGTAATCCACATTGTACGCAATTGGATCCGTGACCTGCACTATGCCTAGATTCTCTGGAGACTCATCTTGGATCTCGAACCAGTAATGGTATGTGCCGTCACTTAATGCTGGTTGAATGTCACTGGGATCGATTTCCCACAAATCTTTGATCGTGCTTGTGAGTAGTCCTCGGAAGACTTGATTATACGTCGCAACGGTTGCTGGCGGGCTAGGATTGAATGTCCCGAGGACCAGCTGAGGAGGTCTGGAATTATCTGGCTGGCCAGGAATCCATAACACAAACTTGGACCTTCTTCGTTCCAAGAGATCGTAAGACATTGCCAACTTGGCTCAATAAAAGACTTGCTTGTGGAGATCGCTGAATGAAAAAATCATGAGGCAAGTGAAATTTTCAAATGGATTGTAGGCCGAGTGAGAATGTATGCCAAACAGGAAATGAGAAGCTGAAAGTAAGCGGCAGATTGGACCATCAGCTTTCAAGATGTGGAGGGCTGAAGATTACGATACATTGAGAGAGGTGCAGGAGTCAGAAAGAAGCTGCATTCAACCTATGCAGCGGGGAGTTGCGACCTTGGGGATACAGGCATTATGAGAGGTCGAACTGCCAGCCACAAAAGCCACGAGAAGGAAAGAACGTAACACAAAACTGGTCGCAGAACTTTTGGACAAGTGCTATTTGGAGCATTTCATCTAAAATTGAAGTACTATTCCCTTGAAGGCGACTGCTGTCTGACTGACATGACCAAATGAAAGAAGGGTTGGACAGGCAAGATAGCATGGCACGATGCAGCTTCGAGAAGCGAAGTAGATTTCGGGGCGTGAGACTTGTACGACCTGAGCTGCGCATTGGTCTCTGAACAGTGTATGCTCACTGTTTGGGTCTGGAGATCTAGACGTATGCGAATATGTTCTGGTGTATACCTAATATCCATGATGTGTTGTGATCATGACTAGATAGTGATATTATAATGGATGTTCTTGGAGAAGTTCAGGGGCTGTACAGTACGGAGGCTGGCTGGCGGACAACCCCTCACCAAGCCCGCCCCACATGACCACCACGCCAACCCTTAGGTATGGACTCCTGAACCTTCAAGCATCAATGATGTTCAGCAACATTCAAACCAATTATTCCTTCGGAGCAACACTTATGTTGCGATATACATTCTTACTTTCGCGACAGCGATGCATCATCAGCCCACTACTACACGCGTCGTCAGAGTCTTGTGACAAGGAAGTTGATCCGTCTTACACGCAAATAGCCCTGAATTTTGGCACCGTTCTGTCGTCCCCTCTGTATCTGGAGCCTTCGGACGTATCGAATTGTTTCTGCAACGGCATCATTATATAGGAACCGCGGGGATACCCGTCATATAATTGTTGTCCTATCAAAGGACACTGGACTAGGTCGGAGAAGCCCCAGTGGTTCTTCCCCCGCTCCGGTGCATTAGATGCCGTATGGAACCTCCCGTAGCAAGGCTGCAAGCAAGTTTATGTCCAAGATTATAAGTACTTACTTGTTTCCTCCCAATCTTATTCCTGTTCTGTCAGATTTCATTCTCCATCTTTGGTACTACCCCTCATTCAGTATGTCAAAGCCAGCCGGAGCTCCAAGTGGACCACCAGGCTTCCCTCCATTCGAAGCCTCTCTCTCAGACTTGACCAAATTATCTTCTGCAATCCATACTTCAATTACAGATTACGAGAATGCAAAGACCCCCAAGGAGAAAGCTGCAGCTCTGCAAAAGATCCAGGCCAGCTCCACCAGACTGTCCCGTACTACCACGCCTCTCCAGCAACAGTTCATGCAAATCAATTTCGGGCCTAACGTCAATGTTGCAATACGAATCGGACTTGAGATGGGTCTCTTCGTATGCCTTTGATTCCCGCTGATTCCACTTTGCTGATCATTGCAGACCGCACTCCCAACATCTGGTGACCCCTCCACCGTCGCCAACCTAGCCCGGCAGACAAACGCTCAAGAAGAATTCCTGTTCCGCATAGCACGAACCCTTGCCGTCTTCGACATCCTCCAAGAATGCGACTCTCCAACGTCCGATTTACCATCCTACAGTCATACGCCTTTCTCCCAATTCCTCACTCTACCACCCGCAGAAGCTTCCACTCGACATCTCTTCGACAACATGCTACATGCACAAGTCAACTCTGCGCGCGGATACTACCTCAAGTACGGCTTCAAGAATCCCGAAGACTCGAAGAACAGCCCGTTTAGCTTTGCGAATGGAAGGGATGATAAGGGCATCTTCGATATACTGGAAGAACAACCGGAGAGGATGAAAATGTTCAATAGTGCTATGGCGATACAGGCTACATTGGGGCTGAAGGATGTCCTCCTCACGTACCCATTCGACAAGCTGGAAGCCAACGAAGACGGTGTGGTGCTCGTCGATGTAGGAGGCGGAAAGGGACAAGTCATCAACGAAATCCAGACAGTATACCCCAACTTGCATGGCTCCATAATACTAGAAGACATGGAAATCGTTCTACAAGGCGGTACAATTGTCCCAGACGAGATCATCAAGCAGCCATATGATTTCTTCAAAGAAGAGCAACCGATCAAAGGTACCCTGCTACCCCCCTACTCTCCACCCCTCGTATCCCGCACTAATATTCCACAGGCTCAAACTATTTCCTCAAATCCATTCTCCACGACTGGCCCGACTCGTCCTGTCTCCAAATCCTTAAGAGCCTCGCCCCAGCCATGCGCGGCTCACCATCGTCGCGCCTCCTCCTCTGCGAACTTGTCCTTCCAGATCGCAACCCCACTATCGGCCAGGTTCTACGCGATATGAATATGCTTGTCATTGCAGGTAAGGAGAGGAATAAGTTGCAGTGGGAGAAATTGCTTGGGCTGGCAGGATATAAAGTTCTGGGCTATTATGGATTGGAGAGCCCGAATAGTAGTATCATTGAGGCGGTGCTTGATGAGTGAGGCCGTGAGGCATGGGGATGGTGGTGGGCATGAAGGGGAGAAATTGGAATCTCTACCTCATTCGTGGACTTCAGCTCTAATATATTTATAATCCGCTCATTTCTGATACCGAACACACTGGCAGACCATGCTTGAATGGTTTAATACGTGAGGGCCGGCGACTGTTACTAGTAAAACGCGAAGTGGGGACCTGTTTATTGACAGCCGAAGCGAGTTTGTTTGAACAGGCGATTCGACCGCCAGCCCCTCTCATTGATATAAGACAATCTTCGATTTTTCTCTTAATACCTTCGGGAAATGTATTGGACCACAGCCAGTGCTGAGCAGCCGGCCAATCGATCATCCACAGAATTTTCAACAGGGGGATCCTACCTACTCGGTGACCGGTGACGGATTAGGAAATAGTCACGTGGTATCATCCTACAGGCGTTTCACGAACCGCCTGCTGTTATTCTCGCCACTATTTCACAGCTGACTGACACTGCAAATCTTTCTAATGTATTTGAATATAAACTCTCGTCTGGATTAGCAACATTCTCATATTATCTTTACATTGCTCTAAGTCTCCTCCTCGCATCTTGACTTGCTGAATGGGGGCTCGAGGCTAGGTTGACGCTGAATCCGAAGTTGGTGAGCGAAGCTGGAATTGATACAAAAGACCCGCAACAATTCAGACGACGCCGATGCAAATATCTCTGTCAGTTGCACTTAGATCACCTGAGCAACCTCTTGACAAAAAGAGATCAGAAATACTTGGGCGACGACAATTTCCCCCAAGTCACCTGACCTGCTTCATGAGGAGTAAGGTACCTACCTACCTTGAAGCATCGCCTCTATACGCAAGAATACATAGACTGGCGGACTGGAGAATTTCAATGGGTTATATTGAATAGAAGCTTGCTAGCCGTCATGGATCCTCCATTTGTTAAGCTGAATCCGGATCAGAGACATAGCTCAAAGAGTTCGGATTCATCGGATGGGTTCAGCCTCCAGGGCTCAGTGTCAGGAGTATGTTTTGGTGTGCTGTCGGATGGGCATTTTTGCTGACTATTGATTAACAGTCTCAAAGCACTGCTCAGTCTACACCTCCAGGTAGCCCTCCATCAGATCCGGGCACGCACAACACTTCACGAGCCAGATATCATATGAAAGATATTGGCGAGTTTGCAGAGGCTCTTGAGACTGTACCTATCATTCCAATATTTTATAGCAGAAGAAAAGTTACTAAATTTCCCTCCAGTCAGCCAACCGAGCACTTCCGAATCGTGGACTTACCCGTTACAGAGACGTCCAAGTCCTGCTCCTGCGATGGGAAGAAGACGAGCTAGAAGTAGAATGGGAGCTCAACGATCTCGCCAAAGTCTTCGGAGACTACGGTTTCACCACCGAGACTTGGTTGATTCCAACGAAGTCACCGTTGAGGAAGATGATGGCAAAGGCGCTTGAGTTCATTGATGATCACGAAAATCCGGATACGTTACTCATTGTTTATTATGGAGGACATGCGAAGATCAATGAAGCGAGACAGTCGACTTGGTCATGGTAAATATCCCAATTCGTGCCAAAAACTCCTACCACTTCGGGACTTATTGTGTACAGTACTCGAAACATGAGTTATAGCTCCTTCGAATGGAACGCCTGCCAGAGTCTATTCGAACAATCCACATCAGACACCCTATTCCTCTTCGACTGCTGCTCCGCAGCAGCTGCAGCTTCATCTGTCCCAAGCCGCACAAACGCCATCACAGAAACCATCGCTGCATGTGGCTGGGAGACGTGGGCTCCTGAGCCTGGTCGTCACTCTTTCACCAATGCTCTCATTGAAGTCCTGGAAGAGTGGATCGACCGAAAATCGTTCTCGGCTGCGATGCTGCATAGTGAGGTTCTGTCTGTTCTTAAAGCGACGAGACCGAAGAAGAGACTCGAGATTAGCAAGACGCCTATTTACATTGTTACGACGTCGAATCCCAAGACTTGCAGTATTGAGATTCGTAGGCGATTTCAAGGCTCCATGAGCCAGAGCTACGCTCAATCCGAGCCATTTGCGTCAGACCAGGCACCGATACGAGCTTCTGTACCTGAAGTGGTAGAAGTCGACGACAAGTTTGACTTGTCATCACTCGTTGCGACACTGCCAGACAATACATTCACAATACCCCACATCATCATGTCGGTAGCCCTCGAGACAGATCAGCTGCTGGATGTCAACGCTTTCGAGCAGTGGATGAAGGACTTCCCCGCACTTGCCAAATACGCGAAGATACAGGGTGTCTACCAAAGTTATTCCACACTGGTACTGCTTTCTGTACCCGTGGCTGTGTGGAACCTCCTCCCAGAGAATCCAGCGTGTAACTTTGTCGGTTACACGAAGTCGGACAACTTGCTCAGGCCTAAGATTGACTCAAATAAAGGAGGAGTGACGGAGGGTATCGACGAGGTGGAGCCGGTGAAGCGTTGTTTAGCTGAGATTTCGTTCGATCAAGCCGAGTAAGTATACGGAGTAGCTTTCGTCATATTATCTGAGCCCCATGCTCCCCACCTTCCCATTCCCCAAGGTATCATCTCACAAGAGGAGATCCTTGACATCCATATCGAAGAAGTAGTCATGGCATAAATGAATTACTGACAACAATACAGTGTCGCCATACCTGCCTTCAAGTTTAATCCACCTGCGACCCGGGGACTTAGATGGCCATCACTTGACCCATTCATGTTGACGCCACGAACCTCTCGCGAGACATCACAATTAGCTATTAACTACACACAAAGCCCAATCTCCAGCTCACGACCAAGCCTCGAAGCAGCAATCACGCAGAGCCTAGGACTTCCGCCAAAACATTGGGCGCTTACGGTCCAGCATAGTACAGGCGAGGTCAAGAACTTCACATCGTCATCGCTGGCACCATATTGCGACGAGATATTGACGATTAAGTTCACCAAGAAATTTAAGAAGTACACCGAGCGAGCTGATGGCCCAAAGTCACAACAAGTCGAATATAATTCAGGTCAGTAAATTGTACTATGCTCTGATTCCAATACTGAATGCCAAGCAGGCTACTACAGCGAAGAATCCAGCACAAGCCTACGCCCTCAGTCTCGTGTCGGCTACCACGATTGGGATTCCGACGAATCCGGTGACCTCGTATTAGTTCAGAAGGGCAAACGGCGCCAACCTCACTGGACCCCCGATTCCGAAGAATCCGAAGAAGAATTATTCGCACCCCTCCCAAACACCAAGCAAAAACCCACAACACTGAGAATAGGAAACGAAAAAGAGCTGGAGAAGTTCTACCACGCGCGATTCACCGAACTTCAGAATACGCCATGCAAGATCCTAGCTAAAGCTTTCGTCAAAGCCGTTGAACCGAGGAAACAATCGAGATATCCTTACAGCAAGGGCCAGATAAACGCGCCACCATGGTGGCCTGCGCTGAGTGGGACGAATTCGGTGCGGCATAAGGATCCGGACCATCTGTTCAAACAAGGCACGTATTCTTCTAGACCCAACCTAAATTCTAGCGATAAAGCTAACAACAAACAGAGCGCATCCAACTCCTCGTCCACATCCTCCGCATGAGCATGGAGCCTGTCGCATCCCAACACCCCTCCTTCCAAGACCAAGATATCAACATCCAGAAACTAGAAGGTGTCTCTTCCGAAGCATTATTTTCATGGTTCATAGATCCTGAGAATCCAGAAAACATGTTTCGCGCGCCATTGATGCGAGAGCTGTTCACAGTCGCAAAGTATGAGGAGCGGTATAAGAATGGTGAAATTGGTAAGCTTCCTTTATTTTGGGTTTGGAGACTGAAACTGAGATATGGCTAATACTGCTGTAGATGCTGATACGGAGATCTCTGTCATGTATCTGGGCAGTCTAGAAGAGGAGTCTGGTGAGGATGAGGATGAGGATGTGGCAGTAATTGATATGCACGCTGCGCCAACTTCTACCGTGGTGGAGAATCAAACGCCAGGGCCTGCACGCGGTTCAAGTTATCTTGAACTTGGGAATCAATGGCGGCATGGATTGAATTAAAGTTCTAGTTTTTGTTTATACACAATATAATCCTTCGCTTGACCAAAAGCTTCGAACATTCCTTCTCCCAAGTGTCGTCGCCCACCAACCTGGGGGGAGGTCTCCGATCTCGCTTAAAATTCCCGCCCCACTCTCATCAACATCAACAAAAACCCAAAACAAAAGACCAAAAACATCACCAGAAGCTCACACAAACCACAAGACCCGCCTAAATTCTTCGCCTCCATCCAAAAATCTATACACAAACAAAATGGCCAAAAACAGCAAAACTCGACTGGAAGCCCAACACTCGGATGCGTGAGAGGTCCCAGTTTACTATACGCAACTTAATATGTTTTCTAACGATTCCGCCGTGTTTGTTGTTAGATATTTGGTTTTGGATACGGTGTTGGCGACTCGGAAGAACCGGGTTCGCCCCTGTTCAGGACGGTGGCCCGGTTGTGGTAGGGAATTTGCTTATTTCGTTATATTTGTGATTCAGAGGTGGATGGATTTTTGGTGGGAGTTGGGCGAAGTTGGATTAGATGTTGGCATGCCGGTGAAATTGATGGTCTCAGCAACCAGCAACACCCTGCCGTTGCTGATCTCCACCGACCTGCAACATCACCAGTGTATCGCAGCTTTCGTTGTCGTCCATCGAGGATCCAATTCGGATCGGTTGTGAAGAATCTCTATTCTGTAGCTGGACTGGCTCTTGGCATTTTGTGTTTCGCTTTTCGGGTAATCCTCCATGGCTGGGAGTGGTTGATTTGACCAGTATCTGTACATGCTCCCCTCCAAGCTCCTCAGCATCTTGAAGTTCACGACTCAAAGCAGAAGGCTGTTTTGACCTCAGAAGATGACCTAATCTGCTCCCAAACTCACGAGTCTTGCTCGATTCCCATGTGGCCATGTGCACACCATCATGAGTCCTGGATATTCGTTGCAAGAGACCTCGTTGATTGAGGACTAATTTTTCTTTTGTGATTGTGGCGTGTGGTACCGTAAGCTGAGTCTGCAATACCGTGAAACCTTTCGGGGTGCCAGAGATAGGATTTTCCGAATTACACAGCGCTATACAGTCCGTGGTAGGATCGTACTCCTTGTGGATTAAACAAGCATCATTCACAATGGCATACACAGCAGTGAGGTGGGAGTCTTCCAGAAACGCTACCCAGCGGTTCAACCGTGTCTGAACAGGCATCGAAAGTTCTCTCTGTCCGTTCAATAGTGCCGCACCAAAGCCAGAAGCTGACATCCCAGTCTTATCAAGTAGTTCGAGAACGCAGCATACAAGTTCTGCCATGTGAGTGCGTGACTTGTGGTGCTTAAGCCAAACATCAACAATGGCATGATCAGATGAGCTAAGCAAAGCTGATCGGAGGTCTAACCCAAAGTCTTTTTCTTTCCAATCAGGAAACTGGCGCTCCAGCAGAGATTGGACTTGTTTCATTGCGATAACATCGCGAAGCTTCACGCGGCGAGCGTTGCCGGTGCAGTGGCTGATTTCAACGCCTAGGTATAAGTTCAAGACGTGGGGGTTGGCTCTGCTTGGCTGATTTGTCCACGTGTTCCATACGGACCGCTTCTGAGTTATACATGGCACCTTTTTCTGTGTGCCCATCACGGAGATACCAATATATTGCGAAGCGGTGAATCCGACTTGACGTTCATCGTAGGCCCAGCTCCCAGCCATCGTACCGAGAGGGCTCATGCATAGCCCATAATCGCGCTCTAGATCATAGAGCGAGTAGGTACATTTGGGATTGATACCCAGAGCTGGTAGAAAGTTTGCTCCGATGAGCAGCTTTTGTGTCTTTGGGATGAGAGCACTTTCTTGCAGCTCGACTATACAATAGCGCGGCAGTGGTGATCCAGGCAACCAGTGACATGACACAGCACCTTCGATAGGACATGGAGCGTCCTGCGTGACGCGAACTATTCGGCCTGTGCCAATGTTTATCTGTTTGTAGTAATCCGAATGGTCATTTCCTGCAGAGACTAGCCAGATTGGTCCCCACGTCTCCGCCAGAGCTCTGAACGTTGTCAGAATTGATAGGGGTGCTGCGAACGAATCTCGTTCGACATTCCACTAAAACTCCCATCATTAATATCAAGTCAGATGATCTTATTTCATATAATGTCAGAGATCAACAACGTACCAGCAGTTGGAATGTCCAGACCTCTTGACTACCGACAAATTCGTCCAGACAGGCTAGTCGTTGAAGAGAACATTTGAAGCCTACTGAGTCTCCCAAGTCCACTACTATCTCTCGCTGTTCTTCACCTAAGTAGTCTAGATCAAATCCAGTGCCATGAGATCCCATGTATAAGACTAGACCTAAATCTAAGAACAAGACCAGAGTTCTACAAAGATGTAGAAGGTTGCAACTCTGGAGAAGCGCTGGATTTTCAATGCAAAGCTTTGCCATGAATATCTGTAATGCAGGCAGGAGGGTATCCACCAAAGTTGTGACTGTCAACCGGTGTGACTTTGGCTGGCCGTCTCGGAACATAATTCCTAAGATGGTATCCCCAATAGCGTCGTGCAAGTCAGCCACAAGATCCCTGGGCACTTCGACCATTTCTGCAATGCCGGTTGACCGGAAAATCAGAACCGTCACGAGGTCGATATCTAAATCTTCAAGCATGTTGAGAATATTACATAGAACCATGTAACTCTTGCCAAGACTCAGTACGGTGTCTGGAGAAGCCGTCGGGTCAAACGAGGCCTTGCGAGCAAAATACCGATCGAGACACCTCCAAACCTCCAAGCTGCAGTGAGAACTTGCATACATGCCGTCTGCGCTCTTGATAGCATCATTGTTGAATCTCCCGGCGGTTTTAAAATACTCCGAGCTTTCCATAACGGTCATCTCGCGGCTGTCGAGCTTTTCGTAGTAAGTTTCAGGGCTGAGAAGACACTCGTCGTCGTCAAAGAGAAGCTTCGGATCTGCAACGGCTCTGTGAACAGGCCTTTGGGTTTGCCTTCGGATCTTTCGAGAATTCTGTGGCTGTTCAAACAAGGATGGATTGTCAACCGCTGTCGGCATGGGACTGGTGTCTATCATGTCGTCCTTCTGGAATCTCGTCTTCGCAATAGTTATGAGTACCATGTGAACTGTGGCATTTTCTCCGATTCGATAGTACTTTAGATCTCGCTCGTCTGTCATCTGTTTTCCAGAATATGTCAAGTAAAAATCTGCCTTGATGATGTCGATCGTATCCTGGATTTTTTGCTTCAAACTGGCTACAGTATCATCACCACTGACGTCAAAGTCCCATCGCACTGCAGATCAGTCAGTAAATTCCATAGGATTGGGATGCAAATATGCCGCTTTTGTTATCCAGTAGACGCCGAGGGGAAGGCTACAGGAGGACATGTCGACTTACCTCCTGACAGACTCACTACGTATATGCGCATTTTGATGTATGGGTATACTGAAAAGAGGGAGACAGAAGGCTGGGTATGTGATCCAAATTTTGACGGGATCGGAGAACGACATGTGGTTTCGAAATCGGCGCTTGAGTAGAGCTGAAAGATTCATCTGTTTTGTGGCTGGTCATGTGCTTTCGTGGCGCATATGCACATGTGTGACTTGTACAACGGAATACTGATGTCGGGCTGAAGCATTGTGGAACTTGGGTAGGGATTATATTCTATAGGGATATTTCAAAACAACACAATCCATCAGTAAGAAAGAGTAATATTGTATGAGACTACCTGGCTACTCCAAAAACTTCCCATAAAATTTTGTTATTTGGCATTGGTTCCCGTTGGTGTTGGTTCAATTTTGTTTCAGTGAAGTAGGTAGTCGCTTAGAAAATTGACAGGGCACGAGAAGCGACTTGGATTTATTTCGCAACATTGATTACTCAAAAGGAGACGGGATTAAGTACTAGTGATACAAATTTGTTTCATTTGCTACCGGGGGAAGTCGCATGATTGCAATGTACAAGCCCCCACATTTGACACAAAAAATGCGTTCGTTGAATTGCAAGACAGATGTGCCGATTTCAGCACCGGAAACGTTCAGACCGTCCACTAAGTACCAACACTGCTGGACATCGATCGGTTGAACATGCGCCAGGAGAGGAACAGTGGAATGTGTTGCCGTTATAATTACCTACTTGTGCCAAGGGCATCGATTAGTTGCAGACTTTTTTAAAGTGAAAGAGGCTTTTGTAATAGAAGTTTTTTGGATTACGAAAAAGAGATAGCGTTGGGGTTTCCCCTTGAACAGTTCGCCTTTCTAGCGGACATGTTCCTGAACATACCCAGCGCTCGGGCGACATTTACAGTGGAGACCAGCGCTATCCTACCTACACTAGGCACGGGACGATCCGTTCATTTAAACCTCCTTCGAGGCCATCTCTCAACCTCCTCCATTTCTGTTCCAGGTCTTCGCAATGGTGCACATGAAATTATCCAGGCTCGATATCCATATGAATTTGACTGGTCTCTAGACACCTTTGGCTTCTCTTGGCCGGACAGTGCTCCGAGGGACTTTGCCCAGATTGTGGCTCGCGCCGCACAATTGAAGCGATTCCAAGTTTCCAGGAAAAAGTACACTGTCTTCAGTTACCCCTTTCCAGTTGCTTTACAAGTACATCTCTTTCTTCTCATTTTCATTTGATATACTTGTCGTTCCTTATCACCTGTAAGTACGTTGATATTCCGCAGAAAGATAAATGAAGACAATGTCCTTGAGGTCTTGGATCTACGAACCCTTGTCTTGAAAAGTACCCCGCGATCAGAATTTCCCCATCTCTGCTATGGAATACAGAACAGGCGACGTTCCACAGGATGCTGGTCTTCCCGTCATCATTGGAGCCGGTAGGTTCGAACCGACATGCCGCTGTTCTACACCGCCATGTCACTGAATCTTTTCAGGCTGTACCGGCCCTGGCCTTGCGATGCCCAGGGATTGAAGAAGATGCCAACATACCTTGGTATTTTTGCCACCAAAAGCAACCATCCCAACTAACAAGAGATAGAAAAGCATTCCGGTCATCGTCTTCGAAAAGAATGCTGCGATATCATCCCTTAGCGCGAGAGATTGGAACATGGACTTCACTGGGGCGTGTCCACCCTGAACTCGTTGATGCCAGATTCCTCCAGCGCCAAATTTCAATCCGTACAAGTCGACCCGAATGCCCCAACCAAAGCCATCGACAACCTAGCTATCCTCAATGGCGCAGGCAAAATATTGAGCGCACCTGAGGTCCCGAACTTCCATCGCCTGCGACGCTCGAAACTGCGGAACCTGTTATCGAAAGAACTCGACATACGATGGAACAAGCGATTGAAACATCTGGTGTATGAACAAGACGGAGAAGGGTCACGGCTGTTTTTGGAGATGGCGAAAATGTTACTGGCAGGTTGATTGTTAGTGCAGATGGCGCAAAATCGACTGTTCGGTCCCTTCTCCTTGGACCGGAAAAGGCAGCTTCAACTCGACTTCCATATTCTGCGACTTTCGTACAGTCGAAATTTACAAGCGAACAAGCACTCTTTCTGCGCTCTTTTCATCCTCTCTACATAGCTGCACCGCATCCAGACGGATACTTCGCGTTTTTTGGACTGCAAGATGCGTCGGAGGTGGACAAACCGGAAGACTGGACATTCTTCTTCTACATTTCTTGGAACTCATCGATAGAACAGCAAGGAAGAAACTTGGGAATAAGGCGAGACTTGCACAAGTGAAAGAGAAATCGAAGGAATACTGCGAACCACGGAAGAGCACATTCGAGTGGGTGTCTGAAGATGAAGCCGCCTGGTATTTCGACCTCTCGGTGTGGGATCCCAGCCTAACTGAGCATAATTGGGACAACAAGAATGGGAGAGTTACTCTCATTGGAGACGCGACTCATCCGATGACTTAATGTACGCTACGTTTCCTTTGTGACTGTCAGCTACTGATGCCTAGATGCCGAACGTGGGCAAAGACTCAACCATTCCATCATCGATGCAGGCAGACTCGTCGAGTCACTGACGACGACCACACAATCCCAAGTCTCTGCAATTGAAAGTTACGTCGCAGAGATGAAATTTAGAGCTGGAGAAGAATTTAGACTCAGCGTCATGAATACAGGTATGTTGCATGACTGGAAGAAGGTGCTTGAAAGCCCAGTCATGAAGGCTGGATTGAAAAAGAACAAGTGAGACTGAAAACGATTTTGACAATGATCTGCGTTTTGCTTGCGTATTCAACCGAGTTGCCTATCTCTGTGACTAACTTGTGAGTCTTTCGAAAGATTGATTGCCGTCGTGCTGGGGAGCGGGTATGTAGTCAGCTCATGATGACAATATCGCCATCTCGTCTTACACCTCTCTCACCTGCTTTATCACCGTGTGTGAATCTTGCACTTCTCTTGCACCATGAGAACCGTCACCGACTTCATCGCCTCCCATAATCACCGTCATCTACACACCAGAAAAAAACCGCAAAAGGGAAACAAAGCACGTTTCTAAAATAATCATGGGTGATACGAGCCTCAGATCCCATGACCATCGGCACACGCTGTTACTAATTCCCACGGCCCCCAACAGAGTCACTAAAGATCATACCGACTACACGCCCCAGCCTCGTCGAAAATATATCTTCAACTATTGATCTGCAGTACTGCTGACTATACCGGCACTTAAGTGCAAACCATCCCTGACGACTGGGTCCGATTCTTTTGTTTCGTCAGGGACTTCAGCCTCCTTCTGTCACACCTGGCCGACGTAAGACACTCCATTCGATTTGCTTTCCGTAGGGCTGGAC